TTAAGGAAGCGGTTTGTCTTACGGCGCTGCTTTACCTTAACTGACAATTGCGCAGTCATGCAACGCTGCACCCAAATAAATTTACGTCTTTTTTTTTTTTTTTCCCACAAATTTTGATCACCTGTGTGGGTTTTTTTTTTCTTTAAAAAAAAAAACTAATTTTGAGGAAAAAAAACAATTTTTTTGGACTTTTTACTATTAAACATGTCCAGTAAAAATCAAATTTAGGCCAAAATGTATTCTGCAACATGTCTTTGCTAAAAAAAAAAAAAAAAAAAAAAAAAAAAATGCATGTAAATTGGTTTACGTGAAAGGTATAGCGTTTACAAATGGCAGTATAGATACTGGATTTTTTTTTTTTTTTTTTATATATATTAATGGTAGCGATCAGCAACTTATAGTGGGACTGCGACGGACATTCTAACACTCGGTGGAACTGACTTGGTGTCATTGACATCCCCAGTGACCAATACAGTGATCAGTGCTAAAAAACAGCCCTGACACTGTACTAATGACCCTGGACAGGAAGGGGTTAACATGAGGGACAATCAAATGGTTAACTGTGATGGGAGTGTTTTAATAGGGTGGCAGGGGGGGTGTGTGTGCTTCACTGTAAGCACACTAATCGGTATGGCTGTGCTCAGCCCTCCTCCCTCCTTCCTGTCGGTAATCACCGGAAGGGCTGTGATTGACACCTGGGGCTGTGATTGGCGGCGCAGGTAGGGCCCCCTACCCGGAAATGCAAAATCACGTTCATATACATGATCCTGCGCACAGGGGCTGCCCTGTAGCAGTAAATGTACTGTGGGCAATCCTAAAGCAGTTAATGGTTTTTTCTGTTTGCCCACCTCCTGAAGGTAGCAACATAACCCACGTGTCTATAACTTACCCTCTCAATGTATGTTGAGGAAAAATAATTGCCACCCTAATAAAGAAACTTTTTCCCCCTTTAGTATTATACAGGCGCCAGAAGGTTTGCTCAGCGCTGTAACGTTATAGTGGGGGACAGTACATGGGACACAATACAGTGAGGGGATTGAGAGGGCCTGCTCTTTCAAGCTTACAATCTAGGAGGGAGGGGATAGTGGGTACAGGAGGAAGTGGCTGTGGGGGATGGAGTGGAGGAGATCGGCTGTTAGGTGAGGGTGGGGTAGGCTTCCCTGAAGAGATGGGTTTTCAGGGTGCTCCTAAAGGTGAGGAGGGTAGGTGACAGTCTGATGGATTGGGGTAGTGAGTTCCAGAGGATGGGGGAAGAACATCCTTCAGTAAGAACATTTCTTTCAATCAGCTATTATCTATGCGCTTTCTTTCTGGGATGTACCCAGTCTGACAGCGTGTTCTGCATTTTATCACTGATGTTCTCTGTCCCCCATTTTAAAAAGAAGTGTCTCCGTTCCAGTATCACTCACAGCAAAGCATGACTGACTACATTCCTGGAGTATAGCTAATTAAACCATATTGCAGGCAATGACCAATTATCCTGTCTTAAAGTTATAACTAAAAGCAAAACTTTTTTTTAGTTTTGGAGAGAGTGCAGAGGGATTCTAACGCTTTTCAATTTTTATTGCTGTCTTTGCCCCTGTTAAGGAGATTCACCCTCTCTATTTGCCCTGTTTACCATTATCATTGAAAGTGAAAGTAAATCTAAAATTTTTGAGTTGTACTCAGAAAAGTAACAGGGGAAATATTCCAATGGAGACACTAGTTCTGGTGACCTGGGGGTTGCCAATGAATTCCCTTAATTTGCAGGGATTTCCTCTCACTTCTCTGGTTTGGTTATGAGACAGGAAGTGAAGGGAAATCTCCGCAATGGGACGCCGATGGTAAAAAATAAACACAGGGATTAAAACCCTCCCTTACTCTATCTATCTAAAATGAAAAAAAAGTTGTGCCTCCTATAGTTCTAGTTTAATAACCATTAACAATTTTCAATGAATATCGCATAACTAGAAAATTATTCAAACATTATTAAGTTACTGTTTTTTGTGTTTTTTTAATTTATTATGTTTTTCTAAGCTATAATGACCACACTAAACTTCATGACTGTATTATAGTATTGTTAACAGCAGTGAACTCTGCAAAAGTGAAATGGGGGGCCTGGCTTCAAGTATTGTCCACATTTGGCAAAGTCTTAGCCTTGGTTATCATCATCATCATCACAGGAATTGTACGACTGTGCCAGGGTAAGTGTGATCATGAACATCGCATTACAAACTGAGAACTAGTGTTGAAACCCAGAATTAAAACTTAACTCCAGACCAATACACACATAACTAACTGCTTCAGCACTTTGGATGTTGTACGTTCAAAAAGTGGAGGGTTATGCCAAGAGAATGGTTGGTTGCCCTCATTTTCAGCAGTTGGCAAAGTAAAGTGATCCAGGTGGCTGTATAGCACTCAATCGCTTTTACAGTGAGAGCAGAGCAGCTGCATGGTTCCCAAGCCTCCCATTACTGGGAGCCTGCAGCAACTGAAGTGAAGATTTTGTCACTTCTGGTTTAGTAATCAGCCAGGGGGGCATTCAACCAAACACAATCTATGCTTGGTTAGATGCTTTAGAATTCAGGGGAGACATAATAGACCCCCAATTTCCCCATGAAGAGTACCTGTCACCTACCCAATGCCATCACATTGGGGTTGTTAACCTCTTGTGATAGCAATAGTTAAATTTAAAAAAGTTTAAAAAATTATATAAAAATAAAATGCTTAAAAAAAAAAAAAAAAATTAACTATGCCCTGTATACACCCGCAAATGTGCACACATGGTGTGCATGTGTATGTAAACCACAATTACATCACAATCCATGTGTGAGATATTGCTGCAAATGTTGGATTGATAGCAATAATTCTAGCTCCAGAGCTTACAGTTAATTCTAAACTGATAAGTAGTAAAGGCTCTTAAAACAAATAGTAATTTTTTTTTTTTAGTCATATCACAAGTGCACACAATTGTAAGACTAGGCATGTTTGGTATCCATTTACTTGACACAACCTCATCTTTTACCAAACAAGTTAGTATTTTGTATGTGTCTACACTAAACTTAATTTTGATATTTTTTTTTTTTTTTTTTTTTTTCCTGAAAACATGAGTTTGCTAAACAGTCACACAAGTACCATGCCACATAAAAAAAAATGCAACGACTAGCTTTTTATTCTACATGTCTTCTGCTTTCAGAAAATGTATAATGTCCTGGGGGTTTTAAGTAACAGTATAGCTAAAAATATAGATTTTTACATTTGCTAAAAATGTAAAAATTGTTCTAAAGCAAAAGCGGTTAAATGCACATATAAGAGCTGTTTTACCTACCAAGGGAAGTATATTTCTGTCCTTAGATTACACAGCATAGCCACCTCCTGACCCAATTTTTCTCTGCTAAGGTGCAATAGCATTTACAGGTCTCCTTCCCCTCACCTTCAGCCTGTTACTGAACAGTGAACAAAGAAACAGTCGGAGAGCCGGATCAGCGTTGTGGAAGACCTGCTCTTTCATTTGACCCTATAAGGGATTCACCTGGTCCTTTTTGGCTTTGCTCTTTTACTGTACATCTACCTGTTATCCATTGGCTCGCCACTAACAATGACCTTCCAGATGCACACATGCTTTGGAGGACATCCGAGTGGGGATTTGTCCGCTCTATTGGTTTTATATTCCCTGCTTCATTTTTTCATCCACTGACAAGGCAGACATCCCTATAATTTCTTGGAATGTGAGGGGTATGCACAGTCCCCAGAGAGAACTATGATTATGTCCACCTTGCATAAATATCCCCCTGCTATTTGTGGACTGCTGGAAACTGCGTTATTCATGGTTGGGCTCTGTATCACTCCTCACACCTTACTCTAGGGGGGTGAGTGCCCTGATTCACAGATTTATAGAGTTTCATGAATGTCTCAGATGTAGATACAGACGGCAGATATGTTTTTTTTTCGAATTTTTATGATTACCTGTGTACTGGCCATGGTTTATATACCCCAGCCCTTCTCAACAAGTGTTTTGAGATGCCTCCTTTCTTTTTTGCTGGACAAGCCAAATGTCCCACTTATTCTTATGAGACACTTCAATGGCTATCTGTGTCCCCAGCTGGACACACATCTGCCTCCTAATTGTGGGCTGAATTTCTTTTGGAGGTTGGATGGGTGGAAGCATAGACACCCACAGGAGTGTCAAATTTTCGTGTTTTTCTAAATCATGTTCTTCATTGGCTAGAATTGATTGTGTTTGACTAATTCACAGGGCAATTTTGCAATTACCAAACTTTGCTATCCTCCCAGAGGGGTTTCAGACCATTCCTCCTGGTGGCTCGGCTGACTGCTAGATCTCACACTATGCTGTCCAGGGCTCCCTGGAAATTGAATGCCTACTGGCTTAACTTATTTACATCTCATGAGACCATCTCAGTACATATTGAGGACTATTTTGCCAGACCTGTTCAGTACCAGAATGTTTTGACATGGGAGACGTTTTGTATGGGAGACTTTTAAATGCTTTTTTACATAGTATTTTTTATCTGAGACAACGGCAGTCAAGGTGGCCACCAGGGAGCATGAATCTCGGTTGGCTCTTCAGGTGCAATGACTGGAAGGGGCTTACGTCTCAAGTTAATAAGAGTCTAACAAGGGTGAGTGGCTATCAGCTCAGGATGGGTTCTAACCCTCCGTTATTCTATCCAAAATGGTAAAATGTTTTGCCTATAGTTTCACTTTAAGGTTCTTGGTTTTTAAGAACTCCCCCACCCACCCCCAACTCAAACCCTTGCCTACATAAGCATTGAACTCCAAACTCTCAAATCAATATAATCATTGAATAACTTTATATTACAGGCATGTTTCCTTTCCATAAGCTTTAGATACTCCTTTACATCTGTTTTTTTTCATTTGTGCACACTAGTTTCCATTAATAAATACTATGGCTACATTGACCATGTGTTCTTCTTGTAGGTAGCACATATTATTTGGAAAGATCATTTGAAGGATCAAAGACGAATATAGGCTCATTAACTATGGCTTTCTATGCAGCGCTGTATTCATTTTCTGGCTGGGACTGCATTAATTATGTAACCGAAGAAATGAAGAACGTTAAGAGGTATTTCTCCTCCATCTTAGTACACAGATTCCATCACATTGTCTGCTTCCTTAAATACTGATATTTTTGGTATTGTGTGATTACTGGTATACTGGATTCTTGTATCTCTAAAGGGCTTAACTAGTCAGTTGTTTGCAATTGTCACTGTGCTGTCCTACATGCTTTCATACCTTCCATGTTACTCGTTTAGAAAAGATATGAGATTAGGAAAGTCAGAAGCAAATACCTGTGTAGCACTACCCCAACAGGGGTTACTTGATAATGCTTTTCCCCAGTGGTTGCCTTGACCTTGTAACACTCTGGATTCAGACATAGCTCAACAGTGTGAACTAATAATGCAAGAGACACGATTCTTTAGTAACACCTCTATATTAGGCTTGTTCAACAGTAGACAGTACATCCCCAGTTAACGCATAAAAGCAAAACACTGATAAAATGGAAGTAACCAAATGGCAACGGTTAACAGATTATATGCCAAAATCGCAATGATATCTTGTAACTATGTAACTTTAACACCAGCAGCAGGAGGTGAGTGTCAGCTACAAGCTAGACAACATACCCATACGCCGCCTGGCACATGCACTTTCCTGGGGCGTGCAGCAGCTTTATCTCATGACCGCTGTGTGCACGGTGCTCGTATCATGGCGATCAAATGATTACAATGTAAGCAAAACTGTCATGAATGGCTTCCATTTATGACAGTTTACTTACTGTTGTGGTGCTGTTTTGGCCCACAGCTATCACATGGTGCCTGGCACCCTATACTATGTGATTAGCTGTACCTAATCACAGCATCACAATAGTAAGTAAGCTGTCATGAATGAAAGCCTTTCATGACCGTTAAAAATATTGCTTATACTGTAACTGTGATCATTACTGTTATAAGCAATAAGTGTAAAAAAAAAAAAAAAAAACTTTGATCACCCCCCCCCAAGAGTAGGAGTGTCACTATGGTGACACTGAACTACTCCGATGACAGTATGTAAAAAGAAAAAATGTTAAAAGATGGTTTTTTAAAAAAAAAAAAAAAAAAAAATCAATATTTATTTTTTTAACACGGTCACCAGTCAGTATCCCTGATCACTGCCACACTGTACTGCACTGATGACAATATGTAACTAAAAAATGTGAGAAATACAATTTTCATTTATTTTCTTCATTTTCCAATATATTGTGACGCAACTACAACTTCAAAAAACTCACCATACCTCTTACTAAATACATTGGACTGTCTACTTTTCAAAATGGGGTCATTTTGGGGGGTATTTGTACTGTCCTGGCTATTTAGAGCATCAAGAAATGATAGGCCATCAGTACAAGGCTGATCAAGTTTTAGATACCGTATATACCATAGTGTGCAGACACTATAACTTTCAAGAAGGCTAAATATCATACACTAATTTAGGTTATTTTTACCAAAGAAATGTAGTAGATTCAATTTTGGCCTACATTTAGGAAGAAAGCGTAGTTTTGCAAAATTTTATAGCCGAAACTAAAAAAAATTTTTCAAAATTTGCAGGATTTCTCCTCTTGTATAGCAGAAATTAAAAAAAAAAAAAAAAAAACCCAGTGGTAATTACATACCAGCAAAAGAGAGCTCTATTTGTGTGAAAAAATGTTATCAATTTAATTTGGGTATAGCATTGCATGACAGCACAATTACCAGTTAAAGTAGCACAGTGCTGAATACCAAAAAAATGAACTGGTCATGAAAGGGGGTAAAACCTTCCAGAGGTCAAGTTGTTAATATAGACACCAGTTATCAACAATTATGTGAAAACACAAAAATGAGCATGAGGTCTTTTCCAACACTTTTTTTTTTTTTTTTTTTTTTAACACACTAGAACAGTGTCATTCTATAGTTATCCCTCCCATAAGGGATATTTCAGTTTGTAGGTTATGAATGGAGTTTTGTATCTCTCAGATCTTTCATACCACCTAGGCGGCTAACTGTCACAACCATCTGAAAAGGGTCTCGGCCTTCTGTAAAATATTATACTACGGAACGTGAACTAGCAGAGGTGAGATTACTTTTTTTTTTTTTTTTTTTTTAGAACAAGACGGGTGAGATCCTAAAGCAAAACAGTGAGGACCACAGAATACTGTTGGATATTTCACCACTATAAATACCAGTAGATAAACCAGGGAATAATTAGTCTGTTTGCCTCTTAACTATTCTAGAATGTACTGAACCATTAGGCTCCATGTACACTGTAGCTGATAAACTCCCGTTTAGGAGCTTTTCTGCGTTTGTGTTTTTTTTTTTTTTTTTTTTTTTTTTTTTTTTGTTTTTCCATTTCCAGATGCTGTCCAAAGCCTTTTTTTTTTTTTTTTTTTTTTTCCCATCATGAAAAATGCGTGTAAATCGTTTTTCCCCTTTTTTTTTTCCATCATGAAAAATGCGTGTAAATCGTTTTTCCCAGAACTCAAATGGACCTGGTACACCATACTTTGAGGTTTCGCATGAAAGAAAATGTTAGACACTGCTGCAATAATTTCTGCACAGAAATGAGCTGGAACACATCCAAACACCACAAAAAAACCCCGCTAATCTCAACACATACTGCTCTCTCTGCTTCTGCTCTTTCTCTCAAAATATCTGAAATAGTTAATTTTTTACTGTTTTTCTGGGCATTTTGTAAGGTCTCCTGAGGTTATCTTTAAAAAAAAAAAAAGCTTCTAAACGCAAACTCTCATAAACGCGGTATGCAAACTCTGCTAAACAGATGTTAACCTACGTTTTCCAGCAGTCAGTTTCCATTCAGAAGTGTTTTGTGTACATGGTGCCTTAAGCACATATTTTGTTCACTCGAATATATGCATTACATTTAGCATACTCGGTCATGTAAAATACTGACTTGTACCATAAGATGGCGCTCATTACTAATTTGTGTTTTATTTGTAGTGTTACCCAATGTACAGTAGATGATACAACAGTATGAATCTGAAATCTGCTTTTTGTATTCGCTTCCTTTAACCCTTTCATAGCAGAAGGCCTACAAAGGGAAGAGGGACAGTGCATTGAGCTAATCAAGGGACCCAACTGTTTACTGGGGTTTAACACTTTTTTTTTTTTTTTTTTTTTTTTTTTTTTTTTTTTTTTTTTTTTTTAGCAGAATACCAGGATAAGTATGTATTTCCTAAATAACAGAACAGTGTCCATTCTTACTTGAATCTTGGTTTGATTTGTGTGCTTCTTCTAAACTTTACCTCTCTTCAGGAACTTCCTGTAATAAAGACCAGTCACTACTGCTCTCTATTTTTGAAGAGTGACTGGTCTTGTATCCACCCCTTTTATGTAGTTCTATGCAGGCCGCAGTAATGGGTGGGCCTGCTGGGTCCCTTCCACAGCTCTGCTTTCTGTGCAAGTTATGAGCACCTCAGTAATGAAGTTACTGCTACTTTTTTATATGGTAATGTACAACAATATTTGGGTTTGCAAGTGTATTTATGTCCTGTGTGGCGATTGATGTATATATTTAAATAAAAGTTCTTGTTTCCAGAGTTCAACTTTAACTGCTTCCATACCGGGCACTTTTACCCCCTTCCTGCCCAGGCCAATTTTTCAGGTTTCAGTGCTCCACTTTGAATGACAATTGCGCGCGGTCATACAACATTGTGTCCAAACTAAAATTTTATCACTTTCTTCACACAACTAGAGCTTTCTTTTTAGTGGTATTTAATCAACACTATTTTTTGCTAAATTTTAAGAAAAAGGACAGAAAATTTTGAAAAAAAAACAAACATGTTTTTCTTTGTTTCTGTTATAAAAGTTAGCAAATCGTAAATTTAGGCCAAGCTGTATTCTACTACATTTCTTTGGTGAAAATAACCCAAATTAGGATGCATTATTTAGTTTGTAATCTAATTTCTTGAGGTCCAAGAATGTCAGAAAAGTACAGATATCCCCCAAATGACCCCTTTTTGCAAAAGTAGACAGTCCAACAGTCCAGCCTGTGCATGTGATCGCTGTGACCATTCACAGCTAGGCACACTTGTATACAATGGATGGCATGAAAGGAAGCCATCCATTGTATACAACTGTCATGTGACCTGCTGTGATTGGTCGCAGCAGGTCACATGGTACTGGCAACGGGGCCGGTACACTGATCTATCAGCCGTGTCCAAGGTACATGGACGGTGACAGATCGCGACGCAGAGCAGCCCTGCGCATTACGCATGCCTGAAAGTACGCCATATGGCGTCCACCTGGAGGGACGAGCTGTTCGCCCAGCCGCCATCTGGCTATAGGCCGGGCGGCAACTGGTTTAAAGCGGAAATACTTTTTTTTTTTTTTTTTTTTTTTTTTCTCTTCTCAATTTGGCCCCAGGGGCTTAGTCATAATGTGCTAGTCGGGGCTTTTTTTCAGTGACAAGGTGGAAGAACGCAGTTCTGGCACTTTCAGCACTGAATGTATGTAATGACAAGTGGTGCTGGAGGGTCTATTGATGCTGGCTGCTGAGGGTCCTATTGTTGCTGGAGGGGATCTATATTTGTATGGGGATCTATTGTTGCTGAGGGTTTCCATTGCTGCTGGCCGGAGATCTATTGTTGCTAGGGGGTCTTATGTTTCGGGGGGGGGTCATTTGTTGCTGTGCAAGCTCCACTGTTGAGGTAGGGGTCTTTTGTTGTAGGGATATCTGTTGCTGCCGGGGGTTATAGATCGTGGGGTGGATCTATTTTTGCTGGGGAGATCTATTGTTGCTGGGGGGTCTCTTGTTGGCTGCAGGGGATCTATTTCACTGCTTTTTCTTTTTATCATTAACAAATCCCATACAAATTACTTGGCACTATACAATTATACTTGATTTTGTATCCTCATAAAGAGGCAGTACTGAGAGGTGGGTAGGTGGGTAAACTAAAGAAAACACAACAAACTCTGTACTCCTGCACTGGGAATGGACTCAGCAAAGGCTATGGTGACAATTCAGATGTCCTGAAAAATGCACTCCTTGCTGCCCTCAACGGACCGGGGTAGTCCAAAGTCACTGGATAGAAAGAAAACAGAGGGCGCACCGGATTAGTGCATTATCGTAAAATATTTATTAAAAGGTCACAGGGTCTGCCATATTCTTCCAGGTTCTGATTTGTCCGCTTGGTTGGACAGGCCGCCATGTCACTCCCTGCATGCGCATGAACCACATCATTACAGCAGAGGGGGTTGCATATATTTATGCTGAGCTATGCATGTATGTCTCAGTGTACACAAATGTTGGCAGGTGGGGAGAAGCAGTTATGACAGAAGAGATTAATAGGTCTCCTCTCTCATAAAAAAAAAAAAACTCATTTTTTTTTTTTTTTCTTTAAAAAGGTTTAATTCCTCTTTAAATATGGTTAAAATGGCACTTTGATATAACTATATGATCCAGCAATCGTTTGATCTTGCATGCACAATGAAATGCTGGGACTTCCAAATCATTGAATATGGTATTTACTTGATTAGGCTTCTACTGTATAGATGACATGTGATGTTCTGCTTTTTAAATTTTTTGCCATGTGTTCCTGATATTATGCTTGGTGTTTTTTTTTTTTTTTTTTTTTTTTTTTTTCTTTATGCATAACAAAATATGGTTGGTTCCACATCACATGTGTAGCACCCTCCTAGGTAGGTGCCAGGATTAGATAGGATTAGTTATATTTTGGTAGGTAAATTATTTGTCACTTTGTAGCCAGAGTGTAAATATTTCCAGGTAAAAGCATAGTTGGCTCACTGTACTATGTGAGCTGTGATCATTTTTAGTGATGTCTGCTCCGTGTGCTCAGGTGCTGCTAGTCTGCCTAGCTTCCTCTGTCCAGGAAACTGCTGAAGTTTCTGGATGATATAGGTGTGGAACTATACAGATGGCAGAACGACAATTGATACAGCCTCAGCCTATCCCAGAGTGAGGGGCTACAAGGCATGCTGTGTAACTGTATATATTCAGTGAGCACCCGGAGCTCTGGATCTTTCCTGGATAGGATCATCCAAGCCTGGGAGTGGGCACATTGCCCTCCTAAGCAGCTGCTGCTGGAGGCCTCAGGTGGGTTACCTGAGGGCCTGAATTGCTGAGACCTGGGTTCTGCTATGCTGACTGAGGAGGCTGTCTACTGAAGATCTGGCCTGGTATCACGGAGGAAGGGCGTTCAGCTGCTCTTGGGTGTTGAGTACAGACATCCCTAAAGGACCTTAGAGACTGTGTGTTGTTTAACCCCCTCTGGTGCTAGGATGTCAGCTGCTGGTTTAGCAAACGGAACACCGGCTGGTGTTCCGAAAATCTTTTGTCTGTCTACTACTACCTAAACAGAAACTGCTCTGGGATTCTAAAGACGTTACTGTTTAAAGCTGAAGTCCACTGTTCGGTTCAATCATGGACTCTGATATAGCTTTTTCTGAAGATTAGAAAAAGTCCTCAGTGTACATAATTCCTAATCTGGAGTATCCCACTCATCTCCCTCATCCCCATCCCTATTCAACAAAGATGAAACTGCCCTTAAACTGATTATTGGAGAAACGAGGGAATGAGCCTATGGCCTGGCTGTCCAGCAAGGTATTTGGGGAGGGCCTGGACAGTATTCCTGTGGCTCCTATGGGAGTAGCACTACACATGCATTCCTGTACAATGTTTAATTATGAGTGCACCATCAGAAATGTTTAATATGACAGAACAAAGAGTATTAACAGAACAGTAATGCATAGTACCAGATTTTACTTATCAAAGTAGATGGAGACTGGGAGATGTTTGCCAATTTTACTGTGGGGTACTGCACTTCTACATCAATAAAGCTGAAGTCCCAGATATATTAATTGCATACTTACATTGGTCCAAGCTGGACCAAAGTAAGTGTATGTAATATATATTTTACAAATTTCATAACTTGGGGACCACTGGGGAAGCTGGAAATTACTGTAGTAGTTGGCACTACTACAGTGGGAACTGTGATCTTCCGGGTCCTGTCGAGTGGCTACCCCACTGAACACCAACAGGAAGTTGCTCACATGGTATTGCCACCATCCACAGACCGCTTTTGTACTTTTTTCAGTGAATAGTGGTCCCAGGTTTTCTCTGATTGGATGAAGTAGAAAGTTAGAATGGTATTCATTGAAAAAATACAAGGCATTATGTGATTTGCGTCAATGCCAATTGGGGTCAGTGTACAGATGAGCAGCTGCTTGGCACAGGACACAGGAGATTGTGGCAATCACTGTAGAAGCACTGATTACTACAGGGATTGTCACCTTCCCCAGCTGTCTCTAAGGCATGAGCTATGCATACTCGCATTGTACCAACTTGACCAATTAAGATCATGCCTGAAGTTCAGCTTTAAATAAAGTCTTATAAGCATGTAGAGGTGTGTGACATATTTTACCAACATGATCTGTCATTGTTATAAACCAGCCTTTTTCAACCGGGGTGCCTAGAGGTATGTTCAGGGGCGCCTTGGCAAAATGCTTTTTAAGATTGCCCAAAAACTGTATACAGGCCCGTCTTTTAGTTACACAAAACCACAGGTTTTCATTGTGCACCATTACCACTACCCAGCCATCGACCTAAAAACAATGTCATCAGTTGATAAGGACATCAGTCCTCTGCACAACATTCTTGCTTGCCCCTCCCCTGTTCCTCTCTGTCAGCACTGGGGTCACATTAGCTGAGTGAGGAAGAGAAATTGAGGTAGAAGAGAAACAATGGAATACTAGTCAGTACCAGTGTGCAAAGGGGTATTTGCTTTGGAAGAATACATCACCTCTGCCATTGGGTATCCCACTTTGCAGATATTGCTTAGTTTAGTTTTTTACATTTTGTAATAGGAGCCCCACAATTGTACAGAATTGTAACGGGTGCCTCAAGATTGTGCAGAATTTTAAAGGGTGCCTTGACTGAAAAAGGGTTGAGAAACACGGCTATAAACTATTATACTGTTTTTCCCTAGAAATCTGCCACTATCAATGGTAATCTCCATGCCAATGGTTACAGTAATTTATGTCATGACAAACATTGCATACTACACAGAATTAGACGTGAACACCATTATGGACAGCAGTGCAGTGGCTGTGGTAAGACTTTACTTCTTTTCATCTTCTTTAGTAGCTTGCATGTTACATTGGGGTTGATTTACTAAAACTGGAGCGTGCAAAATGTGGTGCAGCTGTGCATGGTAGCCAATCCGCTTCTAACTTTAGCTTGTTCAATTATGCTTTGACAAAAAACAAAATGGAATCTGATTTGTTTCTATGCAGAGTTGCACCACATTTGCATTCTCAAGTATTAGTAAATCAACCACTTTGTCTCTCTGTATTAGGCTTCAGAATGGCAGCTAATGTGGAAATTAGGATTTTTGAACCTTCCAACACCTAAAAATGTGTCCCAGTTTTTTTTTTTTTTTTTACTTTTTCAGTAGCAATGATCCCTGATGGTGCTGCTAGAAATTAACTAGGACCCCATTACCTATTCAGAGGCTGTCCACCCTGCTTGTCCCAGTAACACACTGATAACTTCAGGCTCCTCCAGTCTAGAGGCCTTTTTTAAGATTATTTCAGGTCTAAGCCAAAAATGGAGGAGAAGGCTTGAGGGTGCAGGATACCCAAAGCACATGAAAAATGTGGAAGATTGCTTCCTGAAATATTCCAGTGGTAGTAGTAGTAGATCTTTTAGTAGCAGCCTCAAACATATACTGGTGGAGAGGGAGACGGCTAAGTAACCCGTGACTCTGAGATCAATCTTTCAGTAGCACCTCATCTCTTCTGACCAATTAGTACCTAAATACCTAGAGCTGTAGGTAAAAGGTCCTACTTACAATGTTCAGGTGGCAGCTTCTGCCCAGCCCCCCTGCAGCACTCTTCAGTAAGGCCTTGTTCGCACCATACGTGCATGAAAACTGATGTGCAGATTTCACTTGCAGAGACAACAGTTTACATCAATTTTCATGCACGTTTCAATGAGTTTTATACATGTTGCAGATTTCTGCACAGAAAAAAATCTGCCCATGATACTAGTGTTGTGGTGTGAACAGGGCACTTAGAGAACAATTGACTCTATTGTGCCCTTGCAGAACACATTAAAAAAAAAAAAAAAAAAAAAAAAAAAAATCTCTGCACCATGGTGTGAATGAGCTCTAAATGTTTCCCTTGGGTAATTTTCCTCGAGCCACCAGCACATAGCACCTGCTGAGGCCTAGTAGTGTTTTTTTTTTTTTTTTTTTTTTTCCATAGGCTTTTTTGAGTTTGGGCAAGGATATGGGCCGCATGATCCCCTATTGCCCGGGGAGTCAGTCAGATAAACATTTTTCACTCCTGTGATTGACCCTCCCACACTATTGCTGGAAAATTCTTCTAACAGCAGGCAGGAGTAATCAACCACCAGGTTTCAGGAGAACCTGATAAGATGTAAAAATTGCAGCTCAGCTAGCTACAGCTCAGCATTACCACTAAATTTTAGTAAGCCCAGAGCAGGGGCACTGCATTTCTTATTAGGACAAAAAAAATCTTTTTTTATAAACATTTTAGCCAGGTAAACATTACATATTGTATTTCATATTTAACATTCGTAACCAGCAGGGGACCCTTTAGAGGCAGCAGTTTAATTTTTCACAAAAAGGATACCATATGATGGTCGAGCATAGACAATTCGAAGATATTTTACCCATTCTGGTGTCTACCATGCATGCATTTTAGGTTTTTAAATAGAAATTCGATATTAGCTTACTGCATGGAAGAGCAAAGCTCTCACTAATTCCTCTAAAACTATGAAAGCGCAGTGCCTGGAATTGGGTTGTAAAGCAATAATGTCCGTACCACAAGGGTACTGAACAGGCTGCAGGCAGACCCTTTTTTATATGGCTTTCCATTGCTGGTGGTGCCCAGATTCCCCAGCAACTATATGATGCCATACAATGAAAAGAGAGACCTAGCTCTGTCTTATTACTGGCTCATTATGTGATTCCTTCTGACTGCCCCTAGTCATTTAGTCACCGGAAGCAGCACAGGCTATGTACTGTAGATGTCCACTGCTGCATCTAGAGAAAGAGGCATACTGGAATTTCTCTGGACCATATGATGTGTTTGCCAGGTGAGAGACCCCCAAGAATGGCCACTACTGGCAGCTAATGTTGATTCGAACCAATCCCTTAAATTTGACCAAAATATTGTTAATGACGTTCTGGGACTACTAAATTGAGCTCTACGGATTGGATGTGTGTATCCTCAATACGACTTCGCACCTGGCACACTGTAGGAAGGTTACTATTGGGGTTAATTTAAAACATAGAGTGGATACCCCATTACAGTTTGCAATACTACTGCATAGCACAGCCTGTCAATCTACAAAATGTGGCCATGGTAGGCAACCTGCAGCATCCTACAGAGTTTTCTCAACGCAACTCAGGAAACAGAACTCCATGATTGGAGTAAAAGTCAAGTGACTGAGCTCTCCTCCCAACTTTTTGTTACTTTTTCTGTCTTTATTCATTTATTAGCACTCCACCAGGTTCAGAGTCCTGAGGCTGAAGGGACACTATGCACATGACTGAGCTTTAGAAATGTATGTTCTTGTTTTTTAAAGGATAAGCTCATCTTTTGTAACAGGTTACATGTTACACCCATATTAATGTTACAAAACGACTGACCCCTGCTAGCTGTCACAATTTAAAAAAAAAAATGTGGCTGTACAGGGCTCCACCTGCCTGGCTGCGCCACTCATTCACGATGTTCTGTGAATGGGAAAACTGCAAGTTCATTGATTCTTCTTGTCAGTACACTGACAGGGCTGCAGGAGACCTACATGGTAATGTTTTCCAGGCTCCCAAAACAAAAAATAGTAAATGCAGATTTTTTTTTTTTCCTGCAAAAAAAATGTGCATCTATTATTTTATGTTAAAAGGTGAACTTATCCTTTAAACAGTGGTGTGCCTATGGTAAGCCCATAACAGTGTTTTTATAAATCCGTACCTTTTTGGGTTCTTGCAATGAAATATACATTCTATTCTACAAACATAATTGCAGTAGTTTTATATAACTGGTAATTATGAGAGAGTAAAATTGGTATCACCTTTTTTCTGTTTGTTTTTACAGATATTTGCAGAAAGAGTCCTTGGATATGTAAAGTGGTTAATCCCAATAGCAGTGGCTGTATCATGTTGTGGTGGATTAAATTCTGTTGTAATTTCAGGGTCCAGGTGAGAAAAATTATGTAAAAATTAAGCCGTTTTTTTCCATTCCATTTTGCACATTGCCAAAGTTTGTTAGAGGAAATGTTTCCCAGATAAACATGGAGGCTGCTGTTGCTCACCTCTCAATATCCAACTCCTCTTTAACTGATCATGTTGGCAATCTGGTTCCAATACTGTGAGTGAGTAACTCAAAATAAGTCTGCATGCTCTGTCCTCACTACACATTTCCATGTATGTAACTCGGCATGCAGCTAAACCCTCCTATTCTGCAATAAGCCAAACTGAATGTAATCGTGAAGCTTTAACAAAATTGGGTGGGTGAAACAGGAAAAACAGATGTGAAATGCATACAATCAATATTTAAAATATACAATGAATAATTAGGCTATAGATGGTGGTCAGTGATTCTCTCCAGCGATGCTGCCTTTAGGGATACAAGTCTTAATCCAAAATGTGCTCTGATAGCTGGTTCCTTCTCTTAGTTTCTAGGATGCAGTCTGAGCTCCCAAGATGCATCTCTTTACTTTCAGAATTTTGGGAATCTTTATTAACTCTTACTGTTTTACAGAAACTATAGACTGTTTAGATAAATGTATTAAGGGCTCCATCTAGTGGTCAAATTTTGATATTGCAGGCAGGATAGGCATAATATATTCCCCTGCTGGAGGCAGAACACTGCAGATAAGGATACTCCTTTTTGTTCTGGTTTCCTTAACTGATGTACTTGTTCCAAGTCAGTAACTAAAGGGTCAGCTTAGCAACCCAGCAACTATCATTTTCAGAAGGTTGGTATTGGCACCTTTTGGTAAAGTTAGGATTTAACAAATCCTCCCACCCCTCTGCAGACAGGCTGAATGTATACTCTCCTTCAGTCTCAAACAGTGATGTTATCTCTGACATGATCCCAGGTGCCTTCTCCTTGTTCTGCATGCCACAGGCATATGGGCAATGGCTGTTCCAACAGAAATTAATTTTGCATGTGCAAAATAAAAAGGAATCGCTAGGACCTTTTGATGAAATTAAGATTGCTGAATCAAATGCAGAAAAACTGGATTGTTAGCTACAAGTGAAACTTTATACAATCCAACAGCCATATGATGAATTTTGGTCTCTAATAAATTGGGTAAAACCCTATGTGTTTAGCTGAAGCTGTCTGTCACTGCACCCCTTGCAGTACTCCGCAATACATGGACATCACCCCATGTTTTATGACCCCACACTGAATAATACCTGTTGATCCTGGCATACATGCGTTCAGATCCTAAATTCCTGTTGTAGGCTGACAACACTGTGCCTCTGTCAGGAATATGAAGTGTTGGTATCCTGTGAAACAGGCGTAACCAGAAATGGGTGGACTTAAACAGAGAACACCAGGTACACGTATGATATAAAATAATGTGGCTTATTAAAGAAAATGCCGGTAAAAACCATATAACCCATATACACCAATATAGCCAAATCCCCAAGAACCTAAACCAGTGAAGCCTAAGGGGTGAGAGATCACAATAAATAAAATTAAACCAGATAACCAAGATGCCTATATACAGACAGCAGGGTAAGACTAAAGGAGTAGTTGGTATCAGAGCCAGGGTCATACACAGGAGGTCAGGCAGAAGGAAGCAAGCCAGGACAGGGAGAAGGTACGTGGGAGCAGGAACAAGCAGGCAGGTGAGGTGTTAGGATGCGGGAACATGGTACGCAGGTCAGAGGCACACGGATAAACACCAAGGCACCAAAGAGTACATAGATACCAATATTTAAAAAAAATTTTAGGGACACTTTTTTTTCCTGTATGTCCAGAAAGACGGTGGAGGTGAAGCAATATGTTGATTAAGGGTGGGGCATCCATTCATGGGCATAGTCTAACCTAAAAAAAAGCTGGTGGCATGCAAAGATCACAGTGCCAAAAATGGGCGTGGTTTAAATTATGTAAAATGTTGGACTTGGCTTAAAGGGGTGTGGTAAAGAGTCTGAGATTTTCTTTGGCTCCACCCATGCAATTTTGCTCTCCACCCAACATCCCAAAAAAACAAATACACACTTATCTAAAAAAAGAAAAAAATTTTCAACATTAAGAACTGGTCCACACTCACTGGTTGCTAGAAGTTACAGCACATTATTACCGATCACTGATTGGTTTCTAGAGGTTACTGCAGTTGGTACAGGACTAGGGTCAGAGAGTGCAGGCGTACTACAGGAGAGGGTCTTTGTTTAAAAACTGTGCAAAGCTTGTCACCCAAAAAGGAGCAGGAGCTTCTATTTGGGGGCAAGCATACATAGGACAGCCCATTGAAGTGAATGGGCTGCCCTATGTACCACATACAGAAATGTGCATCAATCTGTGTATGGTGCCAGGTACTTACACTCTGCAATGCAGATCACCAAATCCATTCTCTTCATTGCTGAAGAGTCTGGACTTGTCAATCCCCTGGTCCAATTTGTCCCGTCTCATGATTTGGAGGGAGACTTTCCTTTTGCCATTTGCTGTGCAGGAAGGGGGGCCTTGGCAGACAGGGGACTGTTGCGTGTGTTTTTTTTTTTTTTTTTTTTTTTTTTTTTTTTTTAATGTGCAGTGCAGAGGCTCCTGTGAATTAAACTAATGTCCTGGCCTTTTCTACATCAATCCGCCCATGGCAATCTGGCAGATTGATGCAAAAGTGGCTTGGGGTTTAGTTGATCAGAAACCGCGGCACTGCAGATTAGTACGCCGGACCCAAAAGTGAAGAAATAGTTCCCAGTCTGCCGTGGCCCCCTTTCCCACATAGCAAATGGCAACAAGAAAATGTTGTTTATTTTTTTCACTGGCCTAGGCTCATGCAGAGTTAAGAAGCACTATCTGCGGCTGTCCCTGCCATGATCTCAGATTTCCAGGATACTGACCGGGACTGAGGACAATGTCCTGGAAATCATTCAAAATATCGGGACTGTACCGGGTAATCCATGACAGTTGGCAACTATGAAAGCACAGGCAGGGCTTAAAGGATAAGTTCACCTTTGGGAACATGTTACATGTTCCACCTGTTTTTAAACTCCACTGTTCAGGGTTTCCTAAGCAGAGTGTTTGATTTCCCCACCTGTCTTTAGAAGAAGCTTCCAGAATATAGGGCATGGAGATGCAGGTAACCATTATGAATATTTTTCCTGTCCCAGCCAATCCTTGGAAGGAGGCTTCCAGAAGGTGGGTGGAAAGGTGATAAATGTTTGGGAAGCTCTGGGTGAGTGTGTTCCTCCTTCAGGGAGTTCCAGTCTCCTGGAGGAGGGGGGGGGGAGCTACTGCCCTTAGAGCATTTTTGAAACTAGAGATTGCAGTCTGGGTCTCAGCAGGAGCGGGGCTGAGGGCTCAGGGAAGACTGCTAAATGAGTATTTGCTAGAGGGCACTGTTTCAAAGTTCAGGGTCTAGAGAGGGATCTTTTTATCTCCTTCCCTGAGGATCTACCTGTGGAGTATGGGTGACAGACAGCTCCTAGGACATTGTGAGTAAAGATCTTGCTGTGGACCTTGCTGTGGACTTTGGGTGTGCTTTTGCTAGAAGGGAACTAAGTGCCAGAGTTCACTACATGGACTGGGCCTGGCTCTTGTGAAGTTCTAGATACACTGGCTATTCACTGTTACCTCCAGGAACGGTTGCTGTATGATTTTAGTAAGAAGTTTGTCCTCCCATTATTGCAATTGTTAATTTTAAAGTATCGTGTGATGCTAAACCCCTCTCCTGTTAAAGTTTCTTCAAGCGATAACTACTAAAAGGACATCCCCTAGACTGTCATTGGAGCCATTGTGAATGGGCTGGTGGTGGGCAGCCTCTGTACGTTTTGGTAAGAACTAGTTATTAGTGGCCCCTGACCCCTGGCCCCCTCATCATAAATAACACCCATCCATCTTCTACTTGACATACAATGGGGAGGTGTTATGTAGTTCAGAGTAGAACTGGAAGGTATGCTTTTTCTTTAGATAGCACAGGAGACAGGACAGCTCTGGATTTCTGGTAGGATAAACAGGTTTTCTTTTTTTTTTTTTATTTGTAAAAAAAAAAATAACAGAATGCATTTGATTGTATATTTCACACTCCAAAAAGAAGTTAATAGTTTGTTAGGGCTTACATTCACTTTAAAGGCTTAGTGTCTTTTCTTCTTTCTTTACAATTATCTAAATCTCAAATCAATCATAACTCTACCCTTCTAAGTCTGCCTATTCCTGCACTTAAAGCACCAAACCCTCCTTATCCTTTACAGCAAAAAAAAGCTCATCTTCCCCTCAGTTTGATCTGCAGTTGTCATGGTGCTGAACATGTGATCAATTATGACACCAGCCATTTGGTGGCTTGACAGTTCCATTAAGAGAACGGGCAACTGTGATAGTTATCAATCACGTTATGCCCAGAATGTAACTAATTTGAGAAACTGTTTAATCAATCAGTATAGTTCGTTTATAAATATAACCTACAAGACAGAAATTTGATTTATATATTTTGTTCATATTAAACAAAATTTTTTTTAATTTCAGATTGTTCTTTGTAGCATCAAGAGAAGGACAGCTTCCTGATTTTCTGTGCATGATTCATATCCATAGATACACTCCTATCCCTGCATTACTTTTTAATGTAAGATATATTTTCACAAATTATTAGCGATTTGCATCTACATACACATTTATAGTTCTCTTGCAGCACTAATGCTATTTACGTAAAGCTTTTTTAGCTTTCTTCAATACTTTATTAAAACTTGTTGGAACATTACTGCAGATATGACTCTTACTAATCAAGAAGTTGCTGGACACATGGATAAGCCCTTTTTGTTTTACTGGCAAACCTACAGGAACATAGAGCCAGGAAATCATAAACCAAGAAGTTCCACTAGAAAGAATGTTATGTTATACATAACCATCTAGTGGTAGAACTACTAATCACAGTATAATATGTAGCACTGAGTATGTGTCAGGGAATGGGAAGATCGCCACGGTGATCAAAACTGCACATGCGTAGAATCCTGACAAAACATACAGGCAGGCACTAGGACCCAGGCGTGCCTGTCAACAATGATGGCGCCAGGCAGGCACTAGGACCCAGGAGCGCCTGTCAGAAGTCGGGCGGGCTATTTAAACCCAGCTCTTGCAATGTTCAAGTGCCGTATGGTCTTACCTATTTCCTGAGGTTCCTGTTTAGTAGATTGTCTTGTTGCCGACCCTGCCTGACCCTGATTTGCTGTCTGTCTCCTGTTCTGATCCCTGGCTTGTCTGACCATTCTCCTGTTTAACCCTGCACATTCTGAAATCCTGTTAACGAACCCAGCTTGTGACCTGTTTATTCCTCTGCCTGCTGATTTTGTACCACACCGCCACCACTGTTACCGACCCGGCCTGCCTGACGCTGCTCTTGTGACCTCCTCACATCCGACTCTCACCTGCTATACACCTCCAACGGTGCTTCTACCGCAGCTGGGTGAACTCGGGGGGCCGCAACCTGGTCTCGGCCTGCTCCAAGTCCATCCCCACCATCAGGGGCCCTGGTGAACAAGCAGGTAGGGACTTAGATTCCACGCCTTGGGGGAATCCGGTCTGTGGAGCGCTAGAGGCTACCGCTGTAGGATCCCTGACAGAATGTTTGTGTTCCCTGTCTGTTCTGAGCCCGGTTTGGAAGCACAACCCCTGCTGACACCACTGTGAAACTTTGATCAGGAGAAACCAATCCCCTGGCCCTGAAACACAAAGTAATCACACAGTTTAAGGTGAATCAATGTTTTGACTGTATCGAGATCAAAGTGGGAAAATAGTACAAGCACGAAACAGATAACCGTAAGCGTGTATAAAAGATACTCTGAAAAAGCTCAGCAAAATGATCAAACACCGTATCACTTTAGAACAATACCAAAATGTCCTGCAGGACCAGAGGTTAAATGCCAATTCCTGCACTGAGATCTCTTTCCCAAAATTAGCTGAAATAGAACCCAACAGTGAGGTAGCCCCAAACCCTGATAGCCTCAGTGACTGGAAACAGGGTTTAACTCTAAAGATGGATAGGTAGATAGTAATATCCCCTTTAGTACCACCCTGGAATATAAAAAAAGTTCTTCTGCACACTTGTTGGGGCTCTAGTTAGTGCACATTAAGGTTGAGGTCCTTTTTTTATTTGAGAGCAACACTTCCTGAAGAAAAGGCACAGTAGTAAGAAAATTTAGTGGGTTTTTTTTGGGGGGTTTTTTTTTTTAAACTTTTATTTTTTACATAGACGGGATCTCTGCTTTGAACACACCAACTGCACATGTTTCAAGCTGTGTGAAATCTTACAGCAGTAAACTACAGAGAATGTATATTAAAGTAAAATGAATAGCATTAGTAGTTAACTAAATGGATTCATTTTCTCCTTTGCACACTGTTTTAACGTAACATTTATATTTTACACTCCTACAGGGGTTTATGGCTCTTATATTTCTTTGTGTGGAGGACGTCTTTCAGCTTATTGATTATTTCAGTTTTAGTTACTGGTTTTTCCAAGGCTTGGCAGTTGGAAGCCAAATTTATTTAAGGGTCAAGAGGCCAGATATGCCTAGACCTGTAAAAGGTATGTACGAAATGCATGTTGATAAACCTTTTTTTTTTTTTTTTTTTTTTTGTCTTTCAAACCAATAATGTTAAGATCAAGATCTCAATATCTGAGCTGTGCAAATCCCACACCTAATTGATTACTACTAGCTACATATATGTATTGGAATGTGTAATTCTGTTCAGTCACTCAACTAGACTTGTTATGTTAAAGACATTTCATTGCTTATCTATGCAAATACTTAAGTTCCAATCGGGAATGAGAATTATTAGAACAAACGAAGCTGAATAGGTTTGGATAAGCAGGGAAGGTCTTCAACATTACATTCCAGCTGTATATTGACTAACTACCAAGACCTGAATAAACGAGAACCTTCACAAGCATGTTCACATACAGGGGCGTCCCTAGGCAGGTGTGGGGGGTGTGCGCTGCACCAGGTGACACCTATTGCATGGGGTGACACCAGACCCGCTCCAAGAAAAGGTAAATTCTAAAGCAAGCTGATCCCCACAGGGAGGATTGGATCTGCAGATTGGGGAGGATAATGGATCAGACTCCGTACCATTATGCTCAATCCACAGATCCGATCCATCCTGCTGGGATCGTCAGAGAGGGTGTCACCAAGTGTTCCAGCACCAGGTGACACCAACCCTAGGGATGCCCCTGTTAACAACATATATGTAATTTTATTGTAAAGTTCTTCACATTGAGTAAAAGTTCAGCTTTGAATCTAGGTGTACAAAAGGTATGTGCAATTAAAAATCTTGAATACTTTGTCCACAATAAATGCAAAGTACATTAAAGTAGAACTATAGGCAAAACTATTTTCTTATCATTTTGGACAGAATAAGGGAAGGTTATAATCATTGTCTGTTTTATTTGTCCAACTTTGTCCCATTAGGGATATGTACCTCTACTTCCTGTCCCATAGCCAAAACATTGAGAATCCCTTTGGGCTCCCCAGGTCACCAGGACCCATCAGAAGATTTCCCCTCTAGTACTTTTCTGGGGGACAGCCCAAAATGTGGGATTTTCTTTGACTTTCATTTTCAATGATAATGGTAAAGAAAATCCCACATTTTGGGTTGTCCGCAGAAATGTAATATAGGGGAAATCTTCCAATGAGGACACTAGTTCTGGTGACCTGGGGGCCCCAAGGAATTCTCTTAATTTGCAGGCATTTCCTCTCATTTCCGGTTTTGGTTATGGGCCAGGAAGTGAAGGTAAATCTCCCTATGGGACACAGCTGGCTGTGTGTGGCTGTTTGGGAAATTCCCCCTCTCCATTGTTCCTGTTTACCATTATCATTGAAAATGAAAGTCAAACAGGAACAATGGAGAGGGGGAATTTCCCAAACAGCCACACACAGCCAGCTGTGTCCCATAGGGAGATTTACCTTCACTTCCTGGCCCATAACCAAAACCGGAAATGAGAGGAAATGCCTGCAAATTAAGAGAATTCCTTGGGGCCCCCAGGTCACCAGAACTAGTGTCCTCATTGGAAGATTTCCCCTATATTACATTTCTGCGGACAACCCAAAATGTGGTATTTTCTTTTACTTTCACTTTCCATGATAAACAGGACAAATAGAGAGGGGGGATCTCCCTAACAGGAGCACACGCAGCAATAAAAACCTAATAGGTGCTGTAATCCTTCTCCAGTCTATCCAAAACTAAAAAAAAAAAAAGTTTTGCCTTTTTTTACTTATACTTTTAAAATTAATTTATGGCTGCAGCCTACCTGACAGCCCGTTTCAAGACATAACAGAAATCCTCCTCCTAGTATTTCAGCCCCACCTAGAACCCCTCCTTCCCCCTCTGGAACAGCAAGGAATTTCCCTGTCCTAGTACTTTAACACTTCCTAATGTTCTGTATATAGTACTGTGCAAATGTTATAGGCAGGTGTGAAGAAATGCTGTAAGACTGCTTTAAAAATATCATCAAGCTCTTTTGAAGAAGCACAAAGAAACTGGCATTGTTGAGGACCAAGGAGTTCTGGAAGTGATAGCTTGGCCCCCACAGAGCCCTGATCTCATAATCCTTGAGTCTGTCTGGGATTACATGAAGAGACAGAAGGATTTGAGCCAGCCTACTTCCACAGAAGATCTGTGGTTAGTTCTCCATGTTTGGAACAACCTACCTGCTAAGTTCCTGCAAAAACGGGGGGGGGGGGGGATTATTTATTAAACAGGAGAGTGCAAAATCTGGTGCAACTCTGCATACTGTGGGGAAAAAAAAAAAAAAAATATATATATATATATATATATATATATATATATAATATATATATATATATATATATATACATACATACGTATATATATGATTTTGGGTCATAGCTGTTTTACAAGCTATCCATGTGACCATTCAGTGGTTTCAAGTATCCTTATATCTATATTCCAGACTGATCTGTCCCAGGCTGGCATTAAGTTGTTTATTCCTCAGAATATGTTTATAACACTGACCAGGGATACAGGACCCGATTTCTAATTTTAAGTTATTTTGAATGTAGGCACTGTCTGAAGGCTTATTAATAGATTTGTGTTAAATATAGTAATCACTTTTACATAGTATTCCAAAAAAAGATCCAGTACAGAAAAAACATATGCAACATAGTCTTGACAAGGGTTTAATTCTTCTAATTCTAAATTTTCATTCTCTAATGAAAAAATTATTTAAAAAAGTTTAATCTGTACATGCCTTAAGTTTTTTCATATTTACTTAGATTTACAGGACCTACATATAAAACACATACAAAAGCTTCTTACAACACAATATGCATGTACATTTGTTTATTAAGCAATATTGTTTTTGTTTTTTTGCAGCTGAGCTTGTTTTTCCCAGTGGTATATTGCATATGTAGCGTGCTTCTGGTAGCCGTCCCACTCTACAGCGATCTTCTAGATTCACTAGTTGGAGTTGCTGTTGTGCTTTCTGGGGCCCCTGTATACTACCTGTGTCTTCACTTTTCTCCTGAAAAAACAACCAGCATTTCTTCAGAAATCCTTAGGTAAGAATGTTGCTTTATTGTTGGTTAAAATGTTACTAAACCCAGGACCCTGCATTCACTATATCTGCATTTCCATGTTCTGTGTATTGTGGGAGACCAATTATTTTAGTAAATGCTAACTGCTAAATACCTTTTCTCATCAGCAGTTAGAGCAGCCTTTTGACGACTCCTACAAGCTTTAACCAGTGCTTGGCTGGAAGCTGGTAGGAGTTTTTATTTTGCTCTAGGAGGATGCAGAATCCCTGGCCTCTGTCTGGACAGTGCTGATTGGCCCTGTGCTGATCACATGCACTCTCCCAATAAAGAAAACCTCTTGCAATACACACCAAACTGAGCATGTGTAGATATGTCTCATCAGGAGGTAAGAGGGGGACACTGGAAAAAGGGGAGGATCAGAGAAGTCAAGATCAAACAGTGCTTTTACACAACGCAGAGGATTAACCCCTTAGGTTCCACAGTGATTTTAACAAGCATGCTTTACTGTATATACAGACTGATTTTACTGTTGTGGGGTTTAGTAACACTTTAACTCTTTTCAGTATCAAGCCCTGTAGAAAGAGAAACTAAAAAATGTTTTCCTGCACGTTTTACAGATATACTATGATACACTGATCGCTGAGTTCTCACAGCCGCTCTGAGCAGAGAGTAGTTATTGGCTCACTGGAGCAGTGGGTATTAGTCCACTGTCAGCTAAAAACGAGTCACAGGAGTGAAGAATGAACTGCGCTCCTGTGATCCACAGAATCTCCTTTAAATACAGAGGTTTTAGTTGCATACATTTACAAATATATGTGAAAGCCACAGTGCCTCACCAAGGTTCCTTTGTGTACTGACATCCTAACTACATAGTTTTGAGTCTCCAAGTTGGAGCACATATAGTGGATAAATTAAGGGCATGTCTGCCCAGAGGGGGCCCACCCCTCCTTAAAGTATGTACCCCCCCTTATCTTGTAAAACAATGCATTCAGTCTAAAATATACATGAAAACCAAAACATTTATAATTATTATTTTTTTTTTTTATATATATACAAATTATTTTTTCCCCTTATTTATATGCGATCATAGTCCCTCTGATCTTAGCTGCATAAGAGCTAGTAGAGGAGAAAGTACAGCACACTGATCTTCCCAATGAATGGCTGTGCATTCCCACATGGAAGAAAAATATTTGAAATATATTTTAAAAATATTCTTCCCAAATATATTGCCATATATTTGAAATACATTTTTGGCCATATTCACTATATTTCAAAATATATTTAAATAAATAAAATATATCTATAAACTCATGTTTGAAATGTTTTTATTATACAGTATATTTGAAATGTATTTTGAAAATATTTTTCATATATTTTTGTCTTTAAAAATACAAATCTACATTTTTGGAATGCATTTATAATTATATGGTAAAATTTACTTTATGTTAATATTTTTTTTAAATATTCTTCAGATTTTTTTTTTTAAATATTTTATTTATTTTTTTTAACATTTAAAGACATTTTAACATATATTTGTAAATGCATTCCAAAAATGTAGATTTGTATTTTTAAAGACACAGTATATTTGAAATGCATTTTCTACAATTTTCATATTTAGAAATATATACACACACACACACACACGCATACTGAAATTCGTTTTTATTTCTAAATATGAAAATTGTAGAAAATGCATTTCATATATACTGTCTTTAAAAATACAAATCTACATTTTTGGAATGCATTTACAAATATATGCAAAACTATGTTAAAATGTCTTTTTTAAATGTTTAAATGCACATTACAAGGAATAGAATGTTTTCTAGCACACTTACCAGCTAGCCTGCAAAAAAATAAACAAATTGGCCCTGTTTAACAGTTTGTTAAAGACATAGGGTTTATTTGCACACATTTGCAAATATAAGTGAGAGCCACAGTGCCTCGTCAAGGCTCCTCTGTATACCGCGGTCCTAACTCTATTGTTTTGAGAGTCTCCAAGTTGGAGCACAAGAGGGGCAGCCAAGGGGGATGAGGAGGTTGATGTGCCCACTAGATACTATATAATGCCTATTAATTCAAGAGGATCCAACTTTTGCTTTTGCCAGGATTCGCTATCTTTTTCGCAAGTACATAGGTTACACATAAAAATGAAGCGGATATCGGAACCACAGCTGCGTAGGACTCCTTTAAGACCTTGGGCACTGACTCTGTTTACGCCTTCCCTAACATTGGCCTGGAACGTTTAGTTTATATTTGTGTCCCTCTGTGTTCTGGCATTTCATTGTCAGCTGAAGATAGCTAGTATGATCAAGAGACCGTCTCTTGCTGCAGATCCTCTGTAGCTTGCTGTATAAAAAAATCACACTGACCTCAATAAATGCAATTGTTCTTCTCCACATCATATGAGAAATTACAAAATATTTGTACAGAGATACGTATTTATGATCATCAGAGCTATTTTTGCCCACAACAGTAAATATGTGTTCTTTTATCTAGGTCTCATTTCTTTGTACACACAGAAGATTTTTATGTGCTGCGCTGCCAAGTCAACAGAAGATGGAGAAAAGTATAAATAGGCAAATGCTGAAGGTGCCGAATGACTATATTTAATGCTGAACTCTAGGCGGATATAAAAGATACATATAAATGCAGTTCTGTAGCTATTACATTATTTTTTTTAAATGCAGTCTGAATTTGACCCGGTATCGGCATTCTGCAGACCCTGTACAGCAGGGCTGCAGTGCGAGAGGAAGAAGCAGTACAACGAGCCAATAAGTTAATTTGCTGAAGCATTCTAATAGAAGAAAGAGTGATGGAGAGATGAGCTAATCCCTGTGCTGCTTCTTCTTTTCACTGTCCAGTCATTGGATGGAGGAAGGAATTGTCAAGGATGACTTGGGTTTACAGGAAGTGGGTTGTATGATGCTGGGCATCAGACTGAGGACATCTTGTGACAGAAAAAAGTGTTGTGGGGAAAAACTCAGGATTAAAGATTTTACAGCAAAAGATTATGAATTTTATTTTTAATTAGGATAATAGCCATTTTATTTTTTTTTACTTTTGGCTGAAGTTCTGCTTTAAGATTGAGTTTCCCTCAGATGGTGTTACCACATGGACATTTTTTACTGTTGATATCTGCAAAGCAGGATTCAATCAGGATTGTGATAATTTTGCCTAATGAGGATCTCCACAAATTTCTGTATATGTGAACCTAAAATTATTGTACAAATGCAATTTCCTGTTAGTTTACCCAAGCTGTTTTGCATTTAATTTTTTTTTTTTTTTTTTTTTTTTTTTTTTTTTTTTATCCTTCAGGTTTAAAAAAAAAAAAAAAGTCTCACTTACATAAAGGACCACCACCACTTTGCAGCTACTTGAAGGCCTGGGATGTTTTGATGTTTTTTGGGGATCTTGGGCCTTTAATCCCCTCTCTGAGTTAACGAGCAAATAAGCTTTTAAACCGGAAGCCTGGTTGTTGGCACTGTTGGATCAGAGTGTTTTTGAGTGCAGCTACAGGGAAGGTCACCAGTAGGAAATGCAGAAGATCCGGTAAAAAAAGCTCCTTCAGTGCTACATATACTATATTGCCAAAATATTGTCCCATTATATTGGAACGCCTGCCTTTTTACACACACATGAACTTTAATGACATCCCAATCTTAGTCCGTAGGGTTCAATATTGAGTTGGCTCACCCTCTGCAGCTAGAACAGCTTTAACTCTTCTGGAAAGGCTGTCCACAAGGTTTAGGAGTGTGTCTATGGGAATGTTTGACCATTCTTCCAGAAGCGCACTGATGTCAGATGAGAAGGCCTGGCTCGCAGTCTCTGCTCTAATTCATCCCAAAGGTGTTCTATTGGGTTGAGGTCAGGACTCTGTACAGGTCAGTCATGTTCCTCCACCCCAAACTCACCCATCCATGTCTTTATGGACCTTGCTTTGTGCCCTGGTGCACAATCCTGTTGGAACAGGAAGGGGCCATCCCCAAACTGTTCCCACAAAGTTGGGAGCATGAAATTGTCCAAAATGTCTTGGTATGCTGACACCTTAAGAGTTGCCTTCACTGGAACTAAGGGGTCAAGCCCAACCCCTGAAAAATAACCCCACACAATAATCCCCCCTTCCACCAAACTTTACCCTTGGCACAACACAGTCAGGCAAGTACTGTTCTGGCAACCGCCAAACCCAAACACGTCCATTGGATTGCCAGACAGAGAAGTGTGATTCCTCACTCCAGAGAGCACATCTTCACTGCTGTACAGTCCAGTGGCGGTGTGCTTTACACCACTGCATCCAACGCTTTGCATTGCACTTGGTGATGTAAGGCTTGGATGCAGCTGCTCAGCCATGGAAACACATTCCATGAAGCTCTTTACGCACTAACTTTACTAATGCTAAATTGAAGGCCACATGAAGTTTGGAGGTCTTTAGCTATTGACTCGGCAGATAGTTGGTGACTTCTGCGCTTCAGCATGCGCTGACCCCGCTCGGTCACAAAGTTGTAGGCCACATGAAATGACAGAGTTGCTGTTGCCCCCAGTTGCTTCCACTTTGTTATAATACCCACTAACAGAGGACCGTGGAATATTTAGTAGCAAGGAAATTTCATGGATGGATTTATTGCACAGGTGGCAACCTATCACGGTACCACACTTTAATTCACTGAGCTCCTGAGAGCGACCCATTCTTTCACAAATGTTGGTAGAAGCAATCTGCATGCCTAGGTGCTTGATTTTATACACCTCTGGCCATGGAGGTGATTGGAACACCTGAATCCAAAGATTTGGAGGGGTGTACCAATACTTTTAGCAATATAGCGTATATAATTCCACTGTTTGTTTTAGGATTGCAAGTGTAATGATGGAATAAAATTTGCGTATGTTTAATTTGTTTGGTGAGACTTGGTTTAGAATACTAGGTTGACTAGGTCATCCTGTAAAGTCTTTTTAATACAAAATGTTTTTCTATTTAAATTTATATAGGATGGGGACACTTATTTGTGGTTATTATACATTTTATATACTTCTACC